ATATATATATATGAAGTAAATGGGATATGTATATAAATAAGGTATACAAGTTAGGTATACCTGTATGGACCTTATACCTAGTACTTGACCCAATGGTGACGGTATGCATTTTTCATACTAGTATTTAACTCTTTCCTTGCACGTATAGATAAAGTATAGAGCACCTAGTCAAATAGATTAAGTACCCTCAAATATTAGGTACGTCAATATTTGATGTAGACACGTACCAAGGGGGTTTATGGATGATTATTACCGCAAATAAAATTATTAAGATCACAAAAAAATTAATGAATTGGGTGAAGAAGTCATAAAAACATGTGTCAACAACCTAAGTAGTTATGTAGTAATATTCTTTCAACGAAAGTAAGAGAATCCTATGTTATGTTTGATTTTGATGGATTTAAAACTAAAAGTGAATGGGAATATACACTTAGTTGTTTCTAATAACTTTAAATTGATTTCCATATGTTGAGAGATGAATTTGTATTGCTTTGGAATTCACAATACGTGTTGCACCACATCAACAAGACGAGTTTTAGACTTGTGACTAAGAAAGGCCCATATGATTTATTTCCACATCAAACATGCTATATTTTATTTTTTTACTGATGGTTGCAATGGAGTTAACATTGGCGAAGTAGCACTCACCCACTTCGCTAGGAATATTACAAGCATGATCTACCTCAACAGTTTTTCTCATATACAAGGTCAAACATGGCTACATTTATGTCTACAACATTGTTGGACACTTGTGACAGTCATGATCTTTATTGCATCATTTACTACTACATCTTATTGACTCCCAGCAATGAATCTTGCTACATCTACGTGGCTCCCATCAAAAGACAACAAGTTGATTTTATTACATCTACATAGGTCTTAGCAATGGACAAAAGGTCAGACATATACTTTACATATCTCTATCATTGGTTCCTATCAATGGACAACGGGTTGATTCTATTCCATCTATATAGCTTCCAAAGATGGATAAAGGGCTACATTTGTTGTTTTACTTAGCCTTTAGGAATGGGTAAAAGGCTACATATCTCTGCACATTTTAACTACATTAGCTTTCGAAAACAGATAAAGGGTTAGATCTCTCTCTACATGTTTTACTTTACTAGCTCTCAGAAATAGATAAAGAGTCAGCATAACTCGGTATGATTAGCGTAAGGATGGTAACAATTGAAAACTTGTGATTGGTTGGGATGGTTGCCCTCTAGCAATAAAAATCCATCAAATTATGGTCGATGACTCCTTGGTGGTTGCCCGTGCATGGTGGTGCGATGCCTGACAGGCAAAAACAACTACGATTGTCCTCTAATGGTATGGGTACGACAAAAAGGGCTATCATTCTATTGTGATATGGCATCTTGTTTGTACCATAGGCTATGGATGTGGCCAATGTCCCTTTTTTCATAAATAATACTCTACCCATTTTTATTACATTCATCACTATGCTGGAGTTCTGGATTAATGAGATTTATCCTTTTTATGGCTTGGCGGATTACGAGGAATGCTCTTCCTTTATTCCATATGGTTCATGCTCCAGTCATGGGCAAAACTAGCCATTGTTATCCCTTTGGCTATGGGGAAGCTATTTTTGGCTGATCC